GGAGGCGCTACAGGTCTCTCCGTTCCCGAACTAGCGTAATTTACAAATTTACATTTGTAAATTACTTTGCACGCTAACTGCATTTCGTTGTTTTGTACCTGTACTTGCAATGACAATGAATATGAATATGAATCAAATCAAATCAAATCAAGTTTAATGCCCCTGTTGAAGGGTATTATGAGAATTGTAGCCTGTAGCAACCACTAGCAGGGCGTCAGATGCTTGTTATCCTTAAATACAGTGCAAACGTCTAGGACAGTCTGCAGAAATCTTTGTAGGACAGACCTAAAAATCATATTTGGGAGTTGTTTCTTCATCGACCTACAGTATGTCTAAGAATTTATCACAAATGAATTCAAATAAATGAATGAGTTTTTAAATGCCTTCAGAGAACATTTGTTCTGGTGAATGTCAATAAAATAAAATAAAAATAAAGTCAGTTTAACAGAACAGCCCATCTACCTTGTAGCCTCCACAGGTAAGACCGGCGTTTCTTTTAGCCAGGACACATTTCATCCTCAGAAAGAAGGAGCGTTCCATCTCGTATTCTGCAGAGAATGAAAAACATGCAAAAAAGTTTTTGATGCTACATGATAATGAGTCCATGTCATATACAGAACAACCTGCCTGGGTTGTTGTTTACCATGAACGAAGTGTGAATGGTAAGGCTGGTGTGCTGTGAGGACGGCTGTCATTTCATCGTGGTCTGCTGGATGGATGTACTCGTAGATGCTGTTTCCTGTCAACTCTACCTGTTGAAATGAACATTCACGTCAGAACTGTGAAACATCAGGACAAACATGTTAGAGGAGGTCTAAGTTTGTCAAACCAACCTGCGACAGGCCCAAGTGGACTGATGCTGTTTCTGATATGTACATTATTTTCCCGTCTGGAGCAACCACAAAAATGAATCCATCTAATGTCTGAAAGAAACAACACAAAGTGGTATTGTATTAGAAACCAACAAAAGGTCCAAAATAATTAGTCTTTTAATAAAATCAGTGTTATTGTCTTGAGTCTGTTTCCATTGACAACGTGTATACACTACAGTGTCTCATTATTATGACCATATCATTAAACTGGAGATAACTACAGAGCTGCTACCTGCAGAGCGATTGATCGTTGTAACAACATCATGACAAAATCAAGATTTGAAGAGAGGAATGAAATAACAAACAACGACATGTACCATTAAAGGAACAGCTGAATTACACGCTCAGTTCATAAGGTCCACCCTGCTCTAACTAATACAGTCTAATACAACATCCACTTTGTTTTTTTTTGGTCATTTTGGGAGTTGTACTGTGAGCTGCTGTTGGAGTGTAACTCATTATATCGACAGGTGTTTCTAATATTTTGTCCCATTCATTTGTATTATTTTAAAAACTTAATGAAGGATATATTACTGGCTATTGTCTTATACTGCATTTGGTTAACCTACCTAATAAACTAGCAACTGAGTATTATTACTATTATTAGTATATGTCACATTCACTTACTAATGATAATAAGGAACATTACTGATAATAACAATGTTAACCTCAGTTGGAATTGTGCTTATTTAATGAGCAGCTTATTTCCAGTGCTGCTAGCTTGTAGACACTTGTCCTTTCTCTGTGGTCCTCAAACAAGTACACTTTCATTATGGAACCATTTTAGGCCGGCCTGTTGCCCTATTTGACTATTCTGTACACCTGTTTGAAAGCTTGAAGCCCTCTGGTCCTCTTCTGCTACTCTGACAATCCTGTCGCCCTGCTCGGCTGACATGAAGCTGTGTTTCATGCTGTCTATCTGACCGGTACTAGCTGACCTGTGGTTGTCTGTAGCCAGCCTGTAGCCCTGCAACCCCGCAGCCCTACTCCATTGTGTTGCTGCTGATGTGAGAGGGGCTGCAGGACAGACTGAAGCTCTGTGCGTGACCAGGAATGTGCTCAGCTCATTTCACTCTTAAAGCACATGAATGAAGGCAGCAGGAGGCAAAGGCAGCAACCACTAAACCACACACACACTAGCTTTGGCTGAATAATAATAATAATAATAATAATAATAATAATAATAATAATAATAATCATAGTAATAATAATTTCTTCTTGAAGAGGGTGCGTTTGAGGGTGAATTTTACAAAGAGCTAAGCTGTAGAATTATTCCAAATCTGTACACTAATAAACATTTTATGGGAATCTCAGTCCCTTGCAAAATGCAAAGCCCACTATTTGTTTCAGCTGCCTTTCACCTGTGCATACTCTGAACCACAGCCGTGAGTACCTGTAAGAGATGGGAGCCTAGTTCCTGGCTGACTCCATCCACAGAACTGCTGCGGCTCACGTGACCCCAGGACTCCCCGAGGCCTGGAGAACCAATCACACAAACAGAGGGGAATAATATCATTTCATATTTTACAATGAAACAATATCTTTGAAAACCTTGTAAACAGAGAGATGGTCTTATTCTTTAGTTCAGCCAGTATATTCTAATGTAAGCTATGAAGAAGTCTGAATGTAAAAACATAATTTTATTCTAAGCACACTGTCAGTATAAAGAGGCTCTATTTACAGCAAATTTAAGAACAAATAATAGCAACAGTAATGTCTGTGTCCCATGTGCTGGTTTTACAGACTAACAGCGATTGTATCCCTTTATCCTTCAGTACACAACAGGCTTTCAGTTATAAGACTGTACACACATTTAACTGCATCATACCATCAGAACAATACATACTGCAAGGACAATACCAAGAGAAAATAAAATGAGTCTTTATCTAATTATGATGATGTAACAATAACAATATAATATTAATAATAGGCTGGCACTAGCAGGGTCTGCAAGCTCTTAAACTGCACCACCGACCATCACGAATCTAAGATCAACCCAGTACAAACTGCTACAATGTGTTAATCTTACTGGTCTGCAGCTCTAAAAATACACTCAACCCCAAGTTGGACTGGGAGCGGACCTTTATCGAATCCGGATCACTGCGAATGTGGTGGCGTGAAATCTTTTCATAAACCCTTCAGCAGCAGTCAAAATAATAACATGTGAGACGGTGTGTGATGCACAGAGCAAACAGCAGTGTGTGTGTGTGTGTGTGTGTGTGTGCGTGCAGCAGCTCGCATTCAGATGCAAATCCCGCTCTGCAGAGTAAACAGGCAGCATGCGGGGATCACAGCGACCCGCCGCCTGCACGCTTCATATGGAGCTAATATGGACACAATCGAATTACCGAGCAACAAAGCCACGAGTGCAAAACAAAAATCCACTTCATATCAAAGCTAAATAAATAAAAAGATAGCCCTTTAAATACTCCGAGAGCGCTGTGAGAACCCAATGTCCGCTGCTCTCTGACAGAACAGTGTATTATGAGCCTCTACAGTAATGCTCACACGCTTCAATTAGGCCTCACAGAACTCCTGGAGGCCCCCTATCATCATCATCATCATAATCAACGTTCAAATAATACTCATTTCAAACTGTAGAATTGTGGTGCTTAACGGGAAAAAATCCGGTGAATACATTTCACTGAGTTAAGCTCATTAGTGAGAGGCAGTTAATTATGATCAACAGAAAATAATAGAACATAATAAAGAGTAACAATCACTCTAATAACGGAGTTTTCGCTTGGCGCAGATCATCCTAAAAATGAACGAAAATCAAATGAAGTTTGGTATAGGAAGCGGCCCACATACAAAGCAATCTGAGCATACACGGTCCTTATGATAGAGCTCACTGCGCTGTGTTTCTACCCAACTTCATGTGTTATTATTCAACTGAAAAGCTTGGGACTAACATCCTTTGTCTTTTACCTCATGTTTATATATATATATATATATATATGTTATTTATTCATCGTGATGATTTATCTCAGGATGCCCATCCCAAGAGCGGGTGTGTTTTTTTGTTTTTTTCTTGAATATATATCAATATGAAATATGTCATGTTTTAATAAATAAAAATATCAATAAATAAATAAACTCTACAATGCTTACACAGTGGGAAAGATGCGTTTACGTTCTCTGCGCAAACCCCCTCACAAAACGTCGCTGTGTTCCGTGAACACAGTAAGACACATCATTAAAGAACGGCAACAATAACGATCATAATACATTTGTAATTATCAAAATATAAATTATTTTTACCAAAATAATAATGACTCGTACGTATCAAAAAGACGCGCTGACGCTTTAAAGTCAGAACTGAGCCAAAAAGCTTCATGTGGAATAAGAGTAAAAAAAGAGTGAGCGTTTCACTCATTTAGAATCACTGCACACACACGGTGTGTATTTCAAGAAAGAAACCATCACAGCTTGAGGAAGACGTGAGATGTCCAACAACATTCCACATTATTATCTTGATCCCCTTTACTGGTGCCTATAAACAAGCTCTAATGAGATGTATATATGCATGACAGTAAACAATACATTCTAATACATGATAAAATGAACTGAGCCAATACAGTACGTATAATAAAGGGGACTGTCGCCTCCTCTGTTTAAATCTCTCCCAGGGTTTATAGGTGGAGACAATGCTGCAAGATATTTGTGGTGTGGGGTGTCATGTAATTCAACCCAGTCAGGATGGACAACATGGCTAAAAGTCAAAGGTCATACTACTGGCCACTCGGAGAGCCATAAATAAAAGGGACCCCCCCCCCCAGTCACAGAAAAAAAAAAAAAACATTTGCTACATCCCCTAAAAATTAACAGCACTTTTCTCTTTCTCTTCCCCCACTTCTGCAAAAGCACTAAAGCCCTCTCAGACGGGCTCAAGCATCACGTGTGGCTCGTGCTGGAGTGCATGTGGTGGGGGTCCTTGCAGTGAAGAGGTCCTGCCTTTAAAACAGCAGAGAGGTGGTTTAATGCGGGAAAACACACCGCGGCCTGTAAGACGGAGGAGTACGCCTGCATGACTGTCCTTTCAATTATTCAGAGCTTCTGTTGGAGTTGGAAAAAGATCCAAACGTTAATATTAAATGTGACTCCACTATACTGAAGGAGTCCCCATTCATCCTGACATACTGTTTCAGTTTGGTTCAGTAAGACAATTCTTACAACCAACCCTACATTTAACTTTATGCAGTAATTGTCTCTTATTTCACTGTTAAGCCTGAGTCAGATATCTCCCTGTCTTTCTTGTATTTTCTTCATTATTTTCATTATCCATTAATATGTCAATAATGTTCTCCATTTATTGATTAGTTGTTTGATCCATAAAATGTGAGAAATGTTCCCAAAGCCCAAGCTGACGTCCTCAAATGTCTTGTTTGGTCCACAGCCCAAAGACATTCAGTTTACTGTCACACAGGACTAAAGACACAAGAACATGTTCACAACAATCAGAATTCAGTTTTCATTGATTAAATAATTGGTTAAGAGCTGACAATTAATTGATGAATATACTAATCTTTGCATCTCTGTTCCTCCTGAATAATCCCATATGCACAGGTAACAAGGTTGATATTGAGTTAAAGCATGTTTCTCAGCTCATTTTTACTGCATTATTAAAACAAGTGCTGCAATGGGCAGAGATGACACTTAGAGTGATCATATGAGTGATCAGTACAATGTACCCTGATGCTGTGATAACGATGGGCTTTATCGCGGGATAACACGCAGCGTTAACCCACTCACTGTGATAGATCTCATCTGTGTCAGTGCTCATGTGAGTGTAAAGACACAGATCCCCACTAGTGTCCATGTTCCCTTTGTGTTCCCTTTGTCACCGCACCGTCCCGCACCGCACCGCAGCCCGCACCGCAGCCCGCTCCACTGTTACAAGGAGCTCCATATGTTGAGGGATCAGACGTGCACATCATACTAATATCCGCGGCTCTGCAGCAGTCACGCAGGATGGAGCCTCATCACAGCTAATCTGCTGGCAGGGGCCGCCAGGGGCCCCCGGAGAGAAGCCGACATCACTGCAGGCTGGGGGACACGGACAGACGGACGGACCGAGGGACACAGGGGACACACTCATCCACTGCGGAGGATGTTAAATCATATCAGAATCTGAGAGATCTGACTGACACACAGCTTCAAACGAAGAGCACGTGATTAGACAGATAACACACATTAGAGAATGTTCTGATAAACACACCTTTACCATGCGCGCAGTCGATATTCCCTCCATTCTCACCCCATAATCATATGTTCTTGAATGCAACGCTCAAACAATAACACAAATAGGCCTACACGGAATAGACAGTGGGAACTACATTTGAAAAGTCACGTTTTATAGTCATTTGTACAGTTTGTATTTTGTGATAAATCTGAAACGCGGCGTCACAATGTTTTTCTTTCTCATCAAAAATGATCCATAAATGACCAGCCGAGGAAATCAGAATTATATATCAGGAAAGAAAGGGAGAACATGAGGCTATAAGAAAAACAAGATTTAAATTCGTTTTTAAAAATTAAAAACTTAACTTAAAAAATAAAAATCACTAAAGCCCATATGAAATAACGCATAGCCTACAAAAAACCCACAAACTTACAGGAGGTAAAATGAGGTAATAATATGAATATATAAATAATACTAATAATACTAATAGCCTAATAATAATACTACTAATAATGATGATAATAATAACAGTGCTGAGAAAATGAATATTATAGCTCATATAACTTTCTATAATTATATATAAGCTACAATATAATAGTGTAATGGTTCTAATTGATATTTTGTTGATTAAATGTTATATTAATTTGACACATAGTCATTGTATTTCAGTGTAATTATTGCTCTTTACTGTGTGAATGCAGCTCGTACCTTCCGGGAACACTATCCTCATCTTCAGGTAGCTGGTGGTGAGCCGGATGATGGAGGCTTTATCCAGCTGGGAGGTGATGGCGGAGGGCAGCGGCAACAGTTTGGCCAGTTCATAAAACTCACTGTTTTCCTTCTCCCGCCGGGTCCGGGCAGCGTTTTTCGACTTCTCCTTCATGTTGTGTTGTCAGTGTCACAGCGCTCTGTCACGGGCCGGCTCTCAGAGCATTGTACCGGGCCTGTCCGTCCTCCGCTCGGCCTAAAATCCACAGCTGCCGGCGCGTGGACCCATACTTATTTCCAGGTGTTCCGGCGGTTGGCGGCGAGCGGGACGCGGCTAATTCCTGGATCTCTGCGGGTTATTGTGGCGTTTTGGGTCAGCCCATTGGAGGGCTCACCGCTCGCTGATATCCATCATAGCTGCTGTTGAAGTGCCACCGCTGGAGACATTAGGCCCTGCGGGGTGAAACATTCATCACTTTATTTGCACCCTTATGTGAGCGAGCCATCACTTGTATCTGTCTATAAACTGCATATTGGACAACTAGCTAACGGAAAACTAATAAAGACACTTGTTTGAATCTTCATACATTTAGTGGCTGTATTTTTAAATTGCTTGTTAGCTTACCTCCGCGCAGTTCCAACCGACAGTCTGTTAAAGTGACTCCTGCTGGGCTTCAAAGTGTCCGGGCACAATGTCCAAAAAGCCTGAGCATTCGCATTTCTTCGATCCTATGTGATTTTATGGATCGCAGCGCGTCCACAGCCTACAATGTGCTGCAGGCTCGAAGGCCCGCCCACCACAGACAGCTCTGCGTTTATTGGACAATTGGATAGCCAGTTCACGTGTCTATTGGCTACTTTCCGGAATGACGCGCTCCACGAAGAACGGGATAAAAAATGTTCACCTCTGGCCCAAAGTGGATCCCTACAGAACCCGCGCGCTCGTTTTTCTGGGAGAAAACGGTACGCAGAACTCCTTTTAAAAATATGTCAATTTAACAGATTTATATTTTATCAACAAAAATACACATTTTGTAAAGATTCCATTAAGAAAATGTAATATGTGACGGCTTCTCTTTCATTTGGCGTGCACATTGTAGCATCATTTAATGTACTCTCAATTTTCATAATTTGTAAAATTATTATTTAATGCAAAAAATGATGGGCTTCAACTAGTTATCGATGGGGAGTAGTGTTTTATAGATTTTACCAGCAAATTGTAACAATCTTCCTTAAGAAAGTTTAAGGCTTGATCTATAATATGGTGATTTTCGCTGTGAAGAACTGCCAGATTTTTGAATGGAGTTTGGCATACAATAATGCCTAAATGGTATTATTCCTGCAGGTCTTTCTAACCTGTGCAGAGATCCGGAACATATTCCAACCTGCGTTGTTCAGCAGTGCAGTCGGTGTTGATGTTTTATTTATTAGGCTATGTATTTAAGGTTTATGTGACACACACTATAGCCTACGTCCTCTATGTCTACAATCAAAGCTGAACTTGCCTTTTTCAACTTGTTGGAAAAAAAGTCAAATGTTTAGCCCTATTCTAAGAAGTTATTCATCTGATCGGTCTGACACAGGGCTGGAAAATAAAAATGCCAGACTGAAGCTCAATGCATGAAGAATTTTTCCCGATGTTCTGCACTCAGAAATAAAGTTCAATTTTCTATTTCTTGGTTTCTAAAACAGATATACAGGTCTGCTAATACAATACCCACCATTGTGTGTACCCAGAATGGAAACACATACAGGACTAATTCTTACTAATGATGCATTTCTCATATCAGCACAATACTACACCGGGCAGCAGTTATTGGATAATAGTGGAAGTTCCATTGGGCCCCTCCAGAGGAGAGGTCATATTGTCTTATTATCTGTGTATAACCTCCCCTCATCACTTTATGCTCGATTTAACCAGGGGCAAATCTAGAGGGGTGGCCACCCCTCAAAAATGCTTGCCCACCCCAGTTTGATGTCAACTTTTTAACACATTAATAGGGATCAAAATAACGTGTTAAAAAATAAAATGTAGTGATCTGTTGTGGCCACACTTTTATTCAGGGTTGCCCAAAATAGAGCACACGGACCAAAAATGGCCCACTATAAGGTTAGATTTGGCCCACCAAATGTTAATAGCAAATAAAAAAATAAAACTAAAAATAAAATTATAACAAACAATAGATGATTTATCTACTATGTTAAAAATTCAAAATATGAGTGGACAGAGTGACACTTTGCACAGGAAGTCAACCACAAAGTTAACTTGGGATCTTAGCACCAATTTTCATCTAAACAATACAGTACAACAGGTGTTTGCTTTTGGCCCCCATTACATTGTAGTTTTGGCCCTCCGAGGGAAAAAAAAGTCTGTGCACCCTGCGTTAGACTCAGTGATCGGCTTAAATTCAGTGAAAAAGACCGAAAAATGTCAGAACATTTGGAAATAAAACAATGTATAGATTCCGCCTTTAGATATTTCCATTTAGTGCTTAACTAATGAGCCACAATATTGTTTTTGAGTTAAAATATCTTCATTTGGGGGCTTTTCTCAGCAAATATATATATATATATATATATATATATGTGTGTTTGTGATTAAATCACCATATATTTCTGCCACCCCTTAAAGTCTCATGCCACCCTCTTCACACACAATGAATATTTCTCTAGGTCCCCCCCTGGATTTAACACAGCAGCAGTGTAGTTTAGAGTGCTTTCTACAGTAACTTTACATTAGAAATGTCATTACAAGGAATTATGCATGCATTATAATTCCCAGTGTCTTCATAAATCACCACATTATTGGAAGTGTTAAATAGTTTAAGTGCTGCTGCCTTCATTTTTTGTTCCAATTCATACAGGACAGGATGATGATGATGATGATGATGATGATAATGATGATGGCAGAGTGGGTACACGCTACCATCGCCTCTCTCTCTCTCTCTTTCTCTGGCTGTGTTGGAGCCAGTGCGGCCGCTGTGTAATGGGATCCAGCCTGCTGTAAGAAAATCATCCGGGATGCTGTAGGCGCACGAAATGGTTGACGCTGGTTTAACCTTCTTCAGCTCCCACTGTACTGGTAATTAGACTTCCTGTGTGGAAAATATGACCATCAGAAATACTCTCCATATGATTAAGTCTGCATCAGGATGGACTCACCCAGATACTGGGTCATTGCAACAAGCTGATTACATTGCTAAAAGATTAAGACTTCACTCATATTATTAATTTATAGAAACACACTGTAAAAAAATGTCTGTAAATTTGATGGTAAAAAACTGTCAAACCATGACGGCAAAAGACTGTAAACTCTAAATGGGTTAAAGTGTTATCTCATGGCAAAACCTTTATTTGTACGGAATTTTAAAGGAATTTATACAGAATAAAATGTTTGTTTTATTATTATACTACAGACTGTAAATTAGCATAGCATTCATTTGGTGTTTTAATATAGCAAGACTTTCTTTTGATGGTAAAAACTTTTATTTATACTGTAAAATATGAATTAAAACTCAACAGTACTAATATCCTTTTAAAGTAATAGTAGAAAAAGTTCTACTGTATTTATTACGTATTTATTAAAGTTCTGGCATAAACGCTGCCAAGTTTTGTTACAGTTACAATCTGACATTATACTTGGAGATTCTTAAAGAAATAATAACATACATTTATATTATTGTTATACATTACTATTATTATATACTATTATTAGACCATAGGTATATATGCATATTCAAGGTGGATTATACCAACCAGGCAACAAAGGCAACTGCTCTCAGGCCCCAGCAGGGCCGGAGCAAAATGCGAGGGGTCCCCGGGGGACAAAAATAACACCAAGCAGTATTCTTGCACTGGAATATGGCAGTTAGTTTGTGATAATTTGATTAAAGTAGAGCTGCAATGATTCTTCAATTAATCAATTGGCGCGATGTTTTTTGCGCAAATATTCTGAAAATCAATCATATAATCATATATCAGTCATTTATTTCAAGCTTAATGCTATATATGATTGTTCCAGCTTCTCAAATGTTTACACGTGGTTTTACATTCAAGTAAATTAAACATTTTGGGGTTTTTTAATTGGACAAAAGACATTTAATGACATTATTATTATTATTATTATTTATTTTTTACAGTTTTTTTCATTATTTATTTACAGACCGATATTAACTGCTAAAACAATCAGCAGATTGATCCAAAATGAAAATAAACATTAATTTCAGCCCCAGTCTTGTCAGGTTACATACAGGTTTGTTTGAGAATATGCAGCGTGACAGCCTAATCTAAAATAAAATAATATTAAAGGTCTCAAAATTAAAGATTGACAAAACTGGGTCTCAATATTTGGTAAGAATTAGTAATAGCAGGACTGGCCTAAGGGCATATACCATATAATTTCTATTATTGTGTTTTAGTGGAGAACGTTTCCAACAAAATTTGTAATTAATACATTTGTTTAGAGCAGATGGCTGTTTTAGCCCTGGATTCAAAAAGTCGTTAAAGCTACAGTAAGTCTTCATGTGAGTTAACAGGTGCTAGTTTAAAAAAAGTATTTTCATTGATTTTACAGCAGTATTGTGGAAAGAACAAGAACACTGACATTATTTACAATGGAATAACTGTACACACTGAAGAGAGAATGGGAAGAACTATAGGGCTAACTCTGGTAAAAATGACAACTCTAGTTTGTACTCACTTGGCAGAGGTCAGATAAAGTCTGTTTAACAACACCTAAGCAGGATATTTGAATCTGGTATTTTCAGATGTGTTTGGGTCACATTCACACGTGGAAACAAATGTGATTAAAGAAACGTCTGATAGAGAGGATTTTAGAAATACTGAGGTCATAAGGTCGAGTTCTCACGCAACTCCGATTTTTGACTCCCAAACTCCCAAACAGTGGAAGTTAAAAACTAAAACAAAGAGAAAAAAGAACGTCACTCATGTTTTCTGTAAATGTTATTGTGTAACCTAGGAATCTGATCATGTGTTAATAACACACATATGATAATATTGTGTAAATAATCCAGTGTCTCTGAAATTATTTCCATTTCTTTATGTTCCTGCTTTGTGGTTCACACTCCAACAGAGTAAGTGGCGGTGATTCATTTGATAGAAAAGAGACAAAACACTCAATAGTTACCAAAAGTTAAAGATGAATTTGATTACATTTGTTTTTCAAATCTGTCAATAGATATCGTTACCGTGAACTCTTTTACACACCTTCCTCCTAATATTATCTGCACACTGTCACAGATGGGACTGTGGTAAAACATATACTAAATCCCTTAGTATAATGTCAGATTTTGTCTTAAAACACACACATTGTAACCCATTTGGCCCAAAGAAAACTCCAGAATCTGTCTCAGAAACGCGTCTAATATGTGTGTGATCAGTGAATGTCAGCTCCTCGGCTCCAACTCAGTTATCATTGTTGCTGTTTGAGCCCAGTGGAGACAGCGATTCAGCTTTAATCTGCACTTCATTCATGTACAGTGAGCTCACTGGTTATTGTGGGTACTGGATCATAGCCCACTTTCTATAAGTAGATGTAAACAGGCCAAACAAATGTGACACAGTCCTTGATAAACAACTCTGTAGTGCAAACATCATGTCCTGTAATTTACATGTGGTTTAAATTGGTTTTAAACCAACAGAGACTTATCAGCTGATCCTGCAGCTTCCCTCGCCTTTTGCTGAGGAACTAATGTTCTGTTAGTTCACTCTCATCACTCTCACAGTGTTGTTCATGGCAGCAACAGGCAGCTGTTTTCAGCAACAAAGCTCTAACACCCCACAGTACTGCCCTACAAAGTAAAACAGCAGTAACTACACTTTTGGTCAAAATTGTAGTTATGACTAAAAATTAACTTTTAAATGTTTTATCTTGTAACAAATGTTCTAAGTTCAGTCTTGCGCTTTCTTAGAGAGAAAATGATGTGAAAAAGGCAGTTACTACAAAATCCAACCAAAAACCAAGGAAGAGTGCAGTTACTTAGTTTCTCTGAGCTTTGGTTGCAGTTACTTCAGTGTCTGCAAATCCTGTATTTTGGACAATTTCAGGACAATGTAGGGATTAAAACAAAGGGAATCTTCATGTTCTCCACTGGGAACTCTTACTGACTTCATCTGTGGATTATTAGCTGAGCTGATTGTAGTAGATAGTAATAATAGTTTAGTTTAGTTAAGCTGGCTAGTCAGAATTAAATCTAGACAGCTGCTAATGTTTGGGGTCATAGGTCAAATAATTGGTCATGATTTTTAAACTATAGAAATTACTTAGATAATGCATGATACATATTTAATAATGCACATAACCACCATTCTACATAAAACACATTTGGCTGGCCAGTCAAAAAACTTTGACTTTTTCTTCTGACCTTGAATAAAAGTCAGATGCGGACCTTTGATTAACAAGTTTGAGAACTCTTTATCTACAGCAATGGTTCCCAACCTGGGGGTCAAGACCCCCATTAGGGTTGCCAACGCTTCATAGAGGTATGGAGGCCTTGTTGATTTTGTTGCTAGAAAACTTAAAAAATATACACAGTAGGACTATATCTCAGCATTTAGGTGACTTCTGATTAGAAAAGTAAACAAGGTAAATTATCTAATACAACAACAGCAAAACGCTGAACAGAAGCCTAGAAAGTCTGTATCATTGTTAACAAATATTTAAAAAAAACATAATACAGACCCTAAACAGGGTTTTTGCAGTTACTGAGTTCACTGTTTGGGTTCATTGTACAGTTTTAATTATATTATTAAATGTCCATAAAATACATCACTAAATCAGGGGTTGTTGTTTACTCAATGAGAGAAAAGTCTCCCTTAAGGAAAAAAAGGTTGGGAACCACTGGTCTAGAGAGAACCTGGAGTTCCTGGCTGGTTGGTACCTGTGTCTTTGAGACCTGGCCCAGCTGATATTAAGTTGTAGTGCTGAATTTAACACTCAAATTTGAACTTAAGGTTATATTTTTGTTTTATTAGCTCTCTGGGCTAACGCAGTATCCAGAGAGTCAAAGTGTTGACAGTTAAAATCAGACAGGTACAGGTTTGGAGAGTCGACAAAAACAACTGAGGTGTGCAACTGTAAGAAGGATCAGGACCTGGTCTTTGAGTGAAATGATATCTTTATTTTAAAGCTGATCTACACATTTATTTCAAAATGTCAACCATTGTACATTTCTGTTCTCATAACCACTAATCCAAAATGGAATTCTTTTGAAACCGTTTCAAGTTAAGGTGTAGTCTTGCTGTCTACCACCTAAAGTGCTGTCTTGTGTGTATTTTGTGATATTTCTTCACTAGCTCAGTGTGTTATTACAAGTTTTCAGCTGGGGACACTTCTGAGTAACCGAGGAAGACTTCTAGGGGGGAGGAGGATGAGATTTATTTGACAAAACAGATGTGACAGTTTGGTGATCCTGAGTGAAGCCCTGTAGTGGAAAGAAGCATGTTTCACACACCTGCACTGAAATCCACTCCAGCAGAGTCAGTAAATTCTGTCAGCATGTTCCTGTTCGGCACAATGAAGACTCACCGTCTCATTTACAACTACCACTTGCTATTTTCCCATAAGGCCACAGTGGTTGTTAAGTTCAGTTTTCATGTTCCCATCTTTTTAAAGAAAAACCCTAAAACTTAAAGTTAACCTCTTTCCTACATTGCTGGTCCAGTAAACAACAGATGGATCACACAGGGAAGATCAGCACTGCTGTATTATTCTCTGTCCAGCTGAACCTAAAGCATGTTGCATTCTGACCACATTTCATGACACAAAGTCCAGCAATATTATAGTCTAAGTTATTCTGGTGAGACCAGAGTGGAAGCATAGGTTAGCTAGTGTCTAATGAAGAGAGCTTTATCATCTGAATGCACAGGGAAACACTGTGAATATTGTTTCTCAGTTAAATTGGCAAGAGACATATTTTTGTGGGATGCTTAGCAGACCTTTTTCTCCTCCTCGGTCTATGAAAGGGTAACTGGTGACTTGTTGACATAACTCTGTAGCATCCTCTGTTACATATTGGATGTTGACTGGAATTGATTTTTTTTGAGTAAATGTTGTGGAGCTCACTTTGTCCAGACAAACTACAGTGCATACAAAATGAAAGTGAAATGAAGTTCTGTCCCATTTCAGGGCTGCGTCCTTCAGTGGATGTGGCTTATTAAAGCGCTCTGCAGGGATGACGTATTTTTGTGGGCCAAGCCGTAAATTAGCATCGCCCTGGTTCCTTTGACAAAAAGCCAATGGGTTTTTTCCATTGGATTTTGGATTATTACAGAAAATAAGCTCTGTGGCAAACAAAGTTTATGATACTTACACATTTTGTTCAGCAAGAAAATCTTTACAAATGAACTCTACTTTTATGATTTTTGAAGCATAAATGCCATCGCTAACATTACGCTATAAACAAACTAACTACTAGCTTAGTTACATCTGAAAGATAATGTTTGGCAAAACACTAGCTAACTAGCTAGCTAATCTACAAGCCAATCACTAGATATTTTCTACTGTTTGATAGGAATTTGCTAACATAACCTAATTTTATGCTCCTTTTCAACATAGATTAGCCTCCCCTAAAGCACATAGCATATCTAAAGACAGGAAAAGGAAATGAAATGTTGTACTGATAGTTTCTTGAGTCCGATGCTTTGCTCAGACGTGTCATTAGTTTTTGGAGCTAACAATGTGTGAGGAGCAAGAAGGGTGGTTGTTTTTGGGGTCGGTGGACTTAGGCGAATGAGTGAGTACTAGTTATTTTGCCATTGGTATGCGCATA